ACATTTTGAGGTACTGTTTTAAAATGTCCAAAGTGTCTTGAAGCTTTAACAAAAATCGTCTGCAAATTTAAATTTCGTAACTGTTTCACGAATTTTATCGGAAAACTAGCTTTTTTAACCGAAATATTAAAAATGAATCATGCATCATTTTAATACTCTTGGGCTTTTTATTGACCAGCTCACGTATTAATTCTTTTTTTTTTACTACAATGTTATATGTTGTTCGTGCCAAAAACAGGCTCTTGCAAAATGAATCAACTGTTACACATAAATATCATATGTATATTTTAATGGTATCATATTGCTACATTAATAAGGGAATAATAAAGTTTGTCATATTTTTTTTTTGTTTATTTGTGTTTATATCTTAATTGATCCAATATTTTCTATAGAAAACTATGTCTGAAACAAAAGAACCAGATTCCCTCCTTGTCGTATTTTTTTTTAGTTCATTGTAGTGGTAAGCAAATGTATAAACATATTTAAACTCCAACAAATGTTGTCGATATCACATTTGTATACACGTGTCCAATTATTAAAATTCTTTAAGAAACAGAGAGTTGAGAAGACAGAGATTCTTTCAAAAAAACAAATACCCGGTACCTTAAGGAAGCTCTAAAAACTAATAAAAAGTTCTTTTTTTGACTTAAAGAAAAATATATCATAAAAAGGGGTGCATATTGGGACTATTTAGTTAATTTTTAACATAGGTACCTGGCTTATTTCAGCAGGAAAAATGTTCAAAGACAATAAACTATTTGTGAGAAGAAATCGCTGTTGTTTTCTTAAATAAGGAAAATAACTGGAAAAAATGAATTCATTTACTTATTCTTAGTCTCATATAACACTAAGCATATTTTAATTTATTAGAAATCATGTTATTTCAAACTATAAATAACCAATTTTTTTATCTTAATTCGAAGGGCTGATCAATCTAATTGCATAAAACTACCATATAAATAGTCTAGAACTCTTTAGTGTGCAGTTTATAGAGCTTTCTCTAATGGAAAAAAAATCTCATTTTGATTAATGGGTCCCGAAGGGGCGATGGTAAAAAGTTATTTTGAAAAAAAAAATAAATAACTTCATTTACTATTAACTCTTCACTAACATGACTAAAGCTCAACATAAAATAATGGTTTACATAAACACTAAACAAGATACTTCAGATTCTGACACATTTGTATCATAATTGGATACTATTTTATTTGACAAAAGACGTTAATGGTAATCTAACAATCAATTAAGCTCTATGATAAATGTGATGACTAACTTTTCAATTGTCAACTTACCTTACCTATGCAGCGATATACCTTCATCGCCTGCATAAGAGGTTTTTTTTTTTTTAAGAGTTTATTTTAACTTTCACACAAATTACACAAATACAAAACAGACGTATATATAAATGAATATACAAGAAGGTTTGAAATAAAGCAAAAACAGAAAAAGAGGTAATAAAGACTAGTGTGAAAGTTTATGTGGAGAGAGGGGGGGGGGGAGAGAGAAAGGGGGAGAGAACGAGAAAGTGGGAGAGAGAAAGATGAGAGGGCACACACTTTATTGAACAGGTAACGGTAAGAAAATTTTAAAGTTTTTCAACTATTTCCTGCCAGTGTCTTTCAAATCCATCATATTTACAATTTTTTAACAAAAGAATTTTTCTACTCTAATTCTTTTCGAAATAACATTTTTCAAAGTCTCAACGTTTAATTTTATATTTTTGGCATACTTACTTGCAAAAATATATTGTTTTATAATCAGAATAAGTAGATTTTCTAATTTGTAGGAGTTTCTGTTTATAAATTTACCAAATTAGATTGATTGCCTATCAAAACAAACAGACTTGTTCACTTTTTGCAAGATCGATTCCTCAATCTTTGACCATACTTCTTTTACAACAGAACATTCAACAAAAAAGTGATCAATAGTTTCAATATCCTTCTCACAGAAGGAGCATAATGGTGAATCAATAAGTCTTAATTTGAAAAGATGGCAATTAGTAGGAATTATTCTATGTAAGATTTGGAATTGTAACCATTGAAGTTTTGATTCTTGGGTTGTTTTGAAAGGTAGCTCAAAAATTTTTTCTCAATATTTTTCACTAAATTCTTCCCCATTTTCACTCCATTTTATTACTGAGGTTATATTGCCCTTTTTATTCTTAATGAGAACGTTATACATATCTTTACACCCTTTTTTACTCTTTAAGAAAATTTCAAGGCTGGATGGAAGCATCGGTCTAGGTGTTAGCTTTATTTCATGATTCTTAAAACAGGATAGTCTCTTTCTAATTTCTGTTCTTAGTCCTGCATATTCAACATAGTTTATATTTACCTTCATATTATTTTGAATGAAATCAAAACTGTAAAAGTTTCCATTTAAATCTAAGAAATGATTGATAAAAACAAAGCCCGAATTAAAGTAACTTTTGATGAAAATTGACTGGCCACCAATGGTAACTTCTGGATTATGCCATATGTGTTCTTGAAGAGGACTTAAATCAGCTGTAGCTTTAGCCTGATTAACTTTACACCAGCTAGAGAATACATCTCTCCAAAACTTATTTTTCATGGTACTTAACTCAGATTCTTAATAAAGTCAATTCCAAACAGCCAAAGATGACTTGTACTTATTCCGAGTTCTGCTTCAAGTAATTTAACCCATTTTGCACTTGAGCACAAAATCCGCCTTATCCAACTAGATTTCAATGATGTAACAAAATTTTTACAGTCAATCATTTTTAAGCCCCCAAATTTATGCTCTTGAATCATTACATTTTTCTTAACTTTATGATTTTTATTATTCCATAGGAAATTATACAAGTCTTTTTCAAAAGCACTCATGACATCATCATTAGGATTTGGTAAAGTGAGGACAAGATGATTTAGTTTAGGAATTAGTAATGTTTTTATTACAGTCAGTCTTCCAAGAGGAGTAAGTTTGCGAGCTTTCCATTGTGACAGTTTTTTTTTTAATTTCTTCAATTTTTAATTTGTAGTTAATATCTACCATCTCATGTAAATCAACAGAAAACTTAACACCTAGTAAATCAAAGGATGTCGTACTGGGATCAAACTTCCATCTTGAGTGACGAAATACATCTTCTGAGAATTTTTTACTTCCAATCCAGACTAGTTTAGTTTTAGAAAATTTTATTTTTAGACCTGAGATTGATGCAAAATAATCTAACACTCTTGTAATTCGATCCAATGAGCTTGGAGAGCCATCAGAAATAACAGATGTATCATCTGCATATTGGGACGACTTGTATTCTTCACCATCAATAGTTACCTGCATAAGAGGTTTATATGATATCTCTGTTAATTCGATGCGCAAGAGCAAGATCTACATAATTATGAAGACGATGCATTTTCGAGGTAAGTTATTTACAAACAAGTTGTTGAAACAAGAATATCAGCAGTCACGTTTAAAGTCATCATTTCGTAAGTTCTATGGACGCTACAATGACCTTGTCAGCAAATACAGTTCACCATTAAGTCAAGTGCTGGCTGACTTTTTCATATTAATTGTTAGTCCATTACTCACATACTGAATTGCCGACGGATTTTTTTCCGTTATTCCCCGATCATGACAAGGGGCACACAGCGGGTGTGATCGTTCGGCAGGGGTGCTCACTCCTCCATGGCACGTGATCCCAACACTGATATTTTGGAGATCCGTGATTGCTCTTCTCCAAATGTGTATCATTCAAAAGATTTCTGAGCTTGGAAACTGTTCGTTATCTCCGTATATTTCACTTGACTGATTTTTAATATTTCAAGATATCAAAAGTTTGAATGAGAAATGAGAAATTATTTCATATACGTAATCATAAATGTTTTGTATGATTTATTTGTTCAATGACATGTATGTTTTGAAATATTTTATGCAGTTACCTAGGTCATTTAAACAGAAATAAAAACAACAATTATGATAAATAATCATCCTTTACCGATTGTCCTTAAAGATATCCGATCCTCAGCCAGGAAGGATAACTCCAAAAATTAATATTTAATTTGAAATGCACCAAAATGAAGCTTGAAAATGAAATTTTTTTTCATGCACAATTTTAATGTTATTCATCTTTATAAGATTCGAGGTTTTTGGAGGTCATATAAAAATTGACATCTGTACCCTATAAAAGGGGGAAAATAATACAGTTTTAGAGAAATAAGATTTTCTTGAATCCAGCCTTAGATACCAATGCTTATTAGCATGATATGAAATAAGAAGTGATTTGTGGTGTCTTGCAATGATAGCAAAAGCCTTTTACACTATCCATTATAGAATACATGACGAAAATGGAAGACAATAAATACCAAATAAGTATAAAAATCATGACAATTTCTATGAATGCCCGGATACCTATCGTATTTCAACCTAAAATATATTTGTTGATCAATTTGCAATTAGAAAATGCATTACTGATATTCCAATTCGCTTTTTCTGCAAAAAATATTGGAGATTTGACAATTTTCCCTATATAATATAATTAACTTTAATCTTTAAGTTTAAATAAATACTGAGGATAAAGTTACATAACTTTATGGATTCAGAGATACTTTTATGAATAACTGCTAATCTTATAAACCTGAGGATCGGACTACCTTAAACAAGAGTATTTCTACTAAAAATATGTATTTAAAAGGTTAGTGGTAAATAATCTGGTCCGTGTCTAAAAGATCTTGGCGGATGGCTTAATGTCTCAATGCTACATTCTAGATCTATTTCGAACATTGCTTATAATTAGTACATGCATATTAGAATGATTATGTTTTAGGTTAGGCATAATTTAAGTATCGCTATTACTTTCTTAAGTCATACATTAAATATATATTGATATAAAGAATTTAAGGACGAAAAATTGACTAATACTAATAGCATTTTAGCAGGAAAATACTGTAATAAAATATTGCACTTGATGGTTAGAAAATGTTTGTTGATCTGTTGAAGATTGTCGAGGAACATTCAAATATCTTCAAAATGTCGCATATATATTGTTACTGAGAAGTTTGCCATTCTGATACTTTCCTTCTCTTTTCTTGTACTTTCTGGGCTTTATAATTCTCAAAATCTCTAAATATGGCTGAGGTTGATTTGTCTCTTCGGATAATTTCTGGAATTTTACATTTTTGTTTAAGTTTTTCTAGTTCCGAGATTTTCTTGTAATAGAGGGGAGAATCCACTTTATTAATCATTATGTCAGCCTCTTTATCAACGAATTTCTTCATTGCATAATATGTCCTGCAGTTCCCCGCAAACATGTCCTTGTATCGGTTTATGTTTTTCGTGGTCGTTTCAACTTTCGGGTGGTATCGGACAGGGGAATCTGGTTTAGCCTTTTCTTTTTCTATTATTCTGTCGCGTATCTTCTGTCGCCACATGATCATACCATGAAAGCTATTCGAAAGAGAGGATAACAAATTTGTACAATGTTCATTTTTTTCATTTTCATCCTGGCTTTCTTCAACCTGCGACGGAATATCGGGAAATTCGATATTACGAAGAGTATTTTGAATTGTCGCAGGTAAAATATCTTTCTTTTCAGCTTCTTTCCTTTCATACGACTTTAAATTTGTTTTCACATAGTTTCCTGTCTCGCTAATAGATGGGAAAGTTTCTGTAGACAATGATTTCGTGAGTGTATTTGGCTTCGGTCCTTCTTCTATGCTTTCCTTTGCTTTGAAATTGACTAAGAATGGGTCATATTTTTTAAATCCGTGAAGCTTATATACACACCCTTCAGCAAGCATTTTTGTTATATCCTCTTTAAGTTTTCTCAGCTTTCTGCTGTTTTCCATCGAGCACTGCTTTTCGCCACACACAAGTGCGTGCATTTCGTTCATGAGTTTCCATTTCTCCAGCTCATTTTTAATGCTTGTGCTTAGTAACGCTTCTTCGCTCATTCCAATGACGTCACCTTCGCTCTGTGTGCGAGTTTGACGTCTACCCGCCATGATAATAACTGAAAAATACACAAAAATGCTCAATATTAATTAGCAAAAATGGCTCATTCGATGATAAATCCTATATGCCATAAAACTGGGTTTGCTCATGTACACATGTAGAAAACAATATTTAGTATGAAATTGAATCTTGGAACTGAATGCAATTCCTAATAAAGGTTCTATTTTCTTGAAATATATTACATTTAAAAAAGGCATTTAAATAATAAAACATATTTTTACCTTGTTAATTTTCTTTCTTCCCTCACAGGACAGATTCGAAGTTATTTTGCATAAACACGTTAAGGTATATGTGCATCTAAACTGACCCAAACACGTAGAATTGTCTCCATTCCGCCCTGAGAGTGTTTAGCCTTTCTGTTGTCCAGTTCGGCTAATATATTACAGATAAGATATTTGTTCAATGACTACTGTGAATTAAGTTATGATCAACGTAAGACTTTAAACTCACAAACATGACCTAAAGGAGTTAATCTTCCCAAACAATGACACTTCTATCACTTCTATATTGTCCTCATTTGTGACGAAATGAAAATTAGCTTTGTGAATAAGGAATTTAAACTTTTCTTTGAGATAATAAAAAAATCTAAGGTAATCCATTTTAAATGCATTTGGAAATTTTTAAAGAATTTAAAAAGAATCCACTTGATCGCGGATCGTCGTCTGGTGTCCTTTTTAGGACAATATATACACCACTTACTAAATAGGCTTTAAAGTTGTGTCTTGAAACGCAAAAGGCAATTAAAGACTCGTGTTTCTTTTACGGATCTTGATAAAGAAACGTCTGTTGTCATTTAAGATTGGCCTATCTTTGTACAATGACGTATCGCGATCAAGATTTTAATAAAGTCCAAATTGCGAAAAACCATCACAGAAAGTAACAATAGGGATTTACCTTTTCGGTTAATAAAATACTTTTCTTTAGTTTGTTAAATGTAAACGATGATGACAACGCTCAAAAACATTCGGCCGTCCTTTCTTTTTACTGATTTAAGAATTGTGTTATCAGTTACATTTCCTCTTTTTTGGATACGTTTTGATCACTTTCTCATGATGACAGGCAGTCGTTTTTTTTTTGTTTTTTTTTTATTTATTAAAGTTATTGCAGAACATATACACCTCTCTCTCCCACTCTCATACCTGTTGGAAAAATACAAATATACACACATTAATAAACATCTAGTATACATACATAAGGATAGATACACTTCAATATACGCAATATGCAATGCATATTCAATCAGTAATTATTGCCTGACGTCACGGCGTCAGGCTGTATAAGGATTGATATTTCCGAGGTGCAAAGAGAAGAGGTCACAGTTAGCCAGCAGAATTTTGTGCATGCTGATTTTCACTGGAATCTGTTACCTCCGTTTCAAAAAAACATTTAGCAGGAAAAAAAATAACCGTCTTACTGATGCAATATATTGATGTGTTCATTTCCTTTAGTTTTTTTGCATGCAGCTTTTTATTTGAGGCAATTTCATATACGGCCGTTGAAAATATCCAAAACCGAGCAATCCGATATTTTTTGGGAATGCATCGTTTTGCACCTAGACTTGCCCTGTACGGAGATATTGGTTGAATTCCTAGCTATTATCGACGGTGGATGAACATGATCCGTTAAACCCCTGTCACACCGGGGCTGCGTCCTCACGGCGACTGCACGGCGTCCTCAAAAAGTGCAAAACGCCGAGGTGATCGCAGTAGAGTCTCCTACAGCGCCGTGACAACGCGGCGAGATCTCCACTGAACGCCGTAGGGTCGCATAGGGTCTCCAAGAACGCCAGGGGACGGCGATCACTTTGGGCATGCACAGAGTACGCGCCGTGTGATCGCCGTCTGATAAGAACGCGGTAGAAACGTAGTATGATCGCCGTAGCAGCGCGGTGAGATCTCCAACAACGTAGTGGGAGCTCCGAATGAACGCCGTGAAGACGCACATGATCGCGGCACGAACGCAGTGATAGTAGACTGCGCTTCCACGGAGACCTCACGGAGATGTCGCGGAGTCCTTGGAGATGTCACTGCGTTTCTATCCTGTTTTTACGGCGCTTCTAATGAGATTTGTCGTCTTGTGATTTTTTCGACTGCGATTACAGCACGACAGCACGGAGTTGTCACCGCGATCATTGCGCTCCCATGGCGTTTCTACAGCGTCCGTTGGCGATCACAATGCGCTTTCACGGAGTTGTTAATGCGTTGTCAGCCAGCTCACAAAACAAGAGCGATGGGTTCATATTTGATCAGCAATAATTCCAACGTATTTGTTGCTCTAGGAGCATTTAAGTGAAAAAAAAATGGAAGACAAAATTACACCAGAACTTGTACTTTTGTTTCACTTAAATTTTGTAATAAACTTTTCGGTGTGTTTATTTTTTTTTACATTCATAATAAAATTAAAGAAAATCTAACAACACAACTGAACCGATGAAATTGAAAAAAAGGAGTTTAATCATAAAACTATTAAGAATTCAGTACTAAATTATTTTTTAACTATTAAGAATATTTCTTGGCATGATTAGAAGTCTTTTCATCGTGTAACTTCAATCTTTAAACAAAAATGTTTTACATTCCTTCTGAATATATATCAATGAGTATAGAACGCATTGTGAACGTACTGTAAACGCAGCCAGCGCAGTGTGAACGCCGTGAACACGAGGTGAAAACTCCTAAGATCTCCGTGGGAACGCAGTAGAACGCCGTGAGATCGTCGTAGAATCGCGTCCGTCGCCGTAGGGACGCCGTGACATCTTCATATTGTGAAAATTTTACAGAAATTTGTACAATTTTCCTGCGATACCACGGCGATTTTAAAAATTTAACAACGCCGTAATGACTCCGTGTGAACGCAGCTTGGTGTGACAGGGCCTTACGAGGCTCGCATTCGATATGGATTATACAGGTTTTGTTCTAACAACTGGTGCAGTGAAATCAAGGATATATTCCAACGACTCGAATTAGGACATGTCTTTAACTCACAGGTACCTGTGGATATGAAAACGGCTGAACTGTATGTATTACGTAATTACTCATCTCTATGGGAAGACGCTGTCCAAAATGTTCCAAAACTCCGTACATACGTAACCATAAAATCCGCCTTCGAACAGGAGGAATACGTGAAACTAAATCTAAGCAAAACGGAACGCTCACACCTCGCCCAGTTAAGGTGTGGTATTTTACCTTTGCGAGTAGAGACAGGACGCTACATTGGGGAACGACCAGAAGAGAGAGTATGTCGATTCTGCGATGCCGGAGTTGCCGAAACGGAAACTCATTTTGTACTCGATTGTTCACTCTATACAGACATTCGACAAAGCTCCTTCGGTAATCTGTTAGAATCCGACAATTTTTCATCGATAGATAGCAGTGAAAAAATGAAAACTTTGACAACTAATTATGTAAGGAAACTTGCCAAGTTTGTGGTAAAAGCCTATACAAAAAGGAGAAATAACATTTATAAATGTATTTCTTGCTAAAAAACTGTTAATGCTATGGACAATTATTTTAATATTTCATTTCTATGTGCCTAAGTAAATTAGTCAATGAATTATATAATGTACAATGTACTCTTTAAAAGATTATTGCAGTTCACCCTGCGTAAAAGAACCTTGACCCCTTTCGAAGTTATTGCCCCTTTCGCAAGAAATGCTTGTTATCGCTACTCCTCTGTAACCGTAAACCGTAGAGGTATGAAACCTTCACCAATGTCTTCGACTTATTAAGGGAACTCTTCAATCTATTCATTGCAAAAGCATTCGGTGACCCCTTCAATGAGTTATTGCCCCTGAAACTTTTTGAATTTAACAAAAAATTAAAAATTTTCAAAACAACAAGTCGTAGAGACATGGGACCAACTGCATATAATTCATTGACCTTTGACCTTCAAATTCATGTAAAGGTCAAAGGTCAAGGTCATTCCAAAAATGAGAAATTTAGATCTTTTTATATCTATTTTGTCTTTAAACATATACTTAATGTCTATGCATCATTAATATGTACTCTTAAAACTGTTTCAAACATTTCACTCTTGTCCCCTACTATTAATCCTTTTAAAAGTTATTGCCCCTTGTGCGGAAAACCTTGTTATCGCTACTCCTACGAAACCGTAGACTGTAGAGACATTAAACCTTCACTAATGTCTTAAGGGTCTTTAGGTCTAACTTCACTGCATAAGTGCAAATGGATCTGATCACCCCTTATATGAGTTATTGCCCTTTAAGATTTTTGTACTTTCTATTAAACCTTATAACTTGAAAACTATAAATCATAGAAGCATGGGGACAACTGCATTGTGACCCTTGACCTTTGACTTTGAATATTTTTTCAAGGTCAAAGGTCAAAGTCATTCATTTTTTTTAAATTTTTATTTTTTCTATGCTTTAAGGGAGTTTTGGTTTCTTTTTCTTGGAATTTAATTTTTAGTAGTCCGATATAAAACAAATTTAAAATTCAAAGAAGGTGGAAAGACCTCTTATTGTTCTGTGAACAATAAGTCTCCCAGTTATCATTATTATTATACGGACATGTCCGTTTGACCTTTTTTCTGCATTTCTGTACTATTGGATGAGTCCATTTGTCTTCGAGATAAGGGGTGTCACAATCATTTTGTGCCAAATGTCACGTGTATATCTTCGCGCCCTTTTCCTGGATGATTCTCCCAACCTTACTTTTACTATATATAGGAAATGTTAATTGAAAGATTGGACCCCCCTGTATATAACAGAAAATTTATTAAGAGAAATGCAGTATTTAATGCTTTAAAAAATGGTACAGAAAGAAATGTACACTGAAAAAAAGTTGTTCAGGACCCCCCCCCCCCCCCCCCCCCCCCCGAAATAGGATTTCCAACTTTGGGCATATTCCTTTCTTTACTAAAACTAAAACTTCATGCGAAATACCCCCTATTAAACAGGTGAATGAGAATGGTGATCCAATATACGCATTTTCCGATAAAGAGAAAATTGAATTACTAAATAACTTTTTTACATCCATCACTGATATAAAAGATGAAGAATATGAGCTACCTTATTTTGAGTCCAAAAACGTAGAAAAATTTTGTGACGTAAATATCCAAGAAAGTGAGATTATTGATATTATTTCTATCCTGCCCGTAAATAAAGCTGTGGGCCCTGATTGTATCAGCCACAAAATGTTAAAATCTTGTAAAGAATCCATAGCAAAGCCACTTTGTCTGTTGTTTAATAAATCTCTTAGACTCAAAGTTTATCCTGAAAGTTGGAAACTAGCACATGTCCTTCCATTATTTAAAAAAGATGACCCATCAGTCACTTCAAATTATAGACCTGTATCTCTTTTGAGTTGTGTAAGTAAAATATTTGAGAGAGTTGTATTCAAACATGTACATTGTATATAATTTTTTTCATACAAATAATTTGTTCTACAAATATCAGGCAGGTTTTCTGCCTGGTCACTCAACTGTGTACCAACTTTTAGAAACTTATCATACTATTGTAAAAAGTATTGATGAAGGGCAATATTGTTGTATGGTTTTTTGTGATTTATCAAAAGCTTTTGATAGGGTTTGGCATAGAGGTTTGATTCATAAATTAAAAATGTATGGTATCTCCGGTAATATGTTAGAATGGTTGGAAAGTTACTTGTACAATAGAAAACAGAAAGTTATGTATAAAAATTTATTTTCTTCTGTGAAAAATGTGCATGCTGGGGTACCTCAGGGCTCTGTCCTTGGCCCTCTTTTATTTTTGATATATGTGAATGATGTAGCTGAAAACATGATAACTGTTTGCAGACTATTTGCAGACGATAATTCTTTACAAAAAAGCTCGAATGACGTTCGTCTCATTGAACATCACCTAAATCATGACTTAAAAATTCTGGATGAGTGGTCCAAAAAATGGTTAATGAAATTTAATCCAAGTAAAACAAAGGTATTATTCTTCAGCTTAAAAAATACAAACCAGTTACCTGAATTATTTTTTGAAGACTGTCAGTTAGAATATGTATCTCAACATAAACATCTTGGTGTTATTTTTTCAACTAAATTAGGTTGGTCAGATTATATTGATAGTATTGTCAGTAAAGGCTACAAAAAACTAGGACTTCTCAAGAAACTAAAATTTTCAGTGTCTAGAGATACGCTATCCAAACTTTACACTTCTTTTATTCGACCACAACTTGAGTATGCATCTGAAGTTTGGTCAGGCTGTTCGCTGGCAGATATTGATAAACTTGAAAAGCTTCAACTGACAGCCGCTAGAATAGTGACTGGTCTTTCAGTATTAGCATCAAGAAATTCGTTGTATATTGAAACAGGTTGGGAACCTCTTGTAATAAGAAGAGACAAAGCCAAACTTTTAACAATGTTTAAAATTCACAATAACCTAGTTCCTGATTACTTAAAAAACATTGTACCGATGGTTAGAAACACCGTTTCAAATTACAATACTCGAAATTCATTTGATTATTCTTTACCTAAATGCAGGCTTGAATTATACAACAAATCATTTGTCCCCGATACTGTTCGCAAATGGAATTCACTAAGCAACGAAACAAGGGAAATAACATCAATAGGAATTTTTAAAAGAAAATTGAGTAATAATAATGATAAGCCTCCCAAGTATTTTTCATATGGAAAAAGGTATCTGAACATTTTACATACAAAATTAAGACACAATTGTATTTTAAATAATGATTTGTATAGATGTAATATCATAAGTAATCCAAATTGTTCTTGTGGTATGAAAGAGGATAGTCATCATTTTTTCTTTGTTTGTAGAAAATATTTTGAACCTAGACGCCTAATGATGAATGCACTACTTTTAACTTATAATGTAAAAATGATTAATGTGCACAAAATGCTATGGGGAGATGATTCCTTATCTTCGCAGGAAAATGAAAAAATTTTCGGTATTGTTCAAAAATTTATTCAGGAATCAGGTCGTTTTAATTAACACTATATAAATTGTATTATCTCTATTGAAATTATTATATTTTTATAATATCAACACTGTATTTATTATCATCATTATTAATAATTGATATCATTTCCTCATTCAGAAAACAATTATCTTTGTTCTTCTATGTATATGTATATATTATTGTAAAATTTTGTTAATATCGTATGGCTATGCAGATTTTATATATGGGAGAGGACTACCTAAGTTGTTAGAACTTGTGTCCGATCCCTTTGACATATTGTCAATAAAATATGTTCAAAACATTCCTTTCTTTGCAGGTGAGTGGAAAAAATATTCTCTAGCTCCCCCCCCTTTCAAATACAAGGCTGTCTATTGCTTTCATAAGAAGCAAACAACTTAAAATTAATGTATGATGTTTTGTTCGACGTCTTCATAATTTACTCTAATGAAATAATTACCCCTCACCCCAATGTAAACGTTTATATAAATAACTTATCATGATTATAGGTTCTATAGATATTGGTTGCATTAGTCAGGCAAGCTTTTTTGAAAAGTTATTACTTGTATTAGGAGTTACTATTAGACACATTAAAAAGAAATTTCCACTTGGACCATCTATTTTTTAAAATATATTTCCTGACAATTTTTTTCCTAAACAATAGTAATTATTCAAATATTTTAAGATTTCATTAAAAACAATATTATTGTTTTTTCCTTGATTGTTGAAATAAGTATTTCTTCACTAGTAGGATAATCAAATTAATTGCCATATTATTCTTCCAAATATCCAAAAATAACAGTTTTGACATCAGATACAATTCTTGTACCAGACTTTTGAAATATCCAATCTGACAATGCTAACCAAACCACAGAAACCTGTGGACAGTAGAAAAATAAATGTTTAATTGATTCTGGTTCTAAGTTACATATTGAACAAAGTGGTGAATTTTTTATTTTAGACAGATATAGGTTCTTATTAGAACCTAATATGGATAATTCTATAATTGAACCACATATGTCCCCAGTCTTTTGTTGTCAATTTAAAGTTTGCATAAACATGTTTCCAATTAAAATTTAACTCTATTTTTAGATCAGTATCCCATTTGTTTTCACAAATAGGTCTGTAATGTGTTTTTGACATTTAATAATCATAAATATTAATGGATCTTTTTCTGTTCTTACAAAGTATTTTTACAAATTCCGGTTGATATTGTTTAACAAAAGTATAATATAGATATTCTTGCTTACTCAACTTGTTTGTCAATAACTTAATTCCCTCGTTCGCAGCTTACTTTTTCTCCATTCCTTCACTAAAAGAATCAAATAAATTTAATTACTGAACTTCTAGATCTTGCAGTCCCGAAAAAAAAAACACTAGAGTTAAATCTTTGGAACTTTGCTTTACTATAGTCACTGTGAAAACTTTGGAACTTTGATTTACTTTAGTAAACCGGACCATTCCTCTAAAAGAACAATGCACAAGAAATGAATAATATATATTAACATGATTAATGCAGCCTAAAGGTTGTCTTTTGTACCGAAAAAAGATATATTTATTTAAAAAATCTATTTCGTTTTAATGTTTTATATATATCGAAAGAAAAAATATTCTACAAAATAAAATATGCGTTTTTTTCTGTTTTTGTTTTTTGTTTTTGTTTTTTTGTTTTGTTTTGTTTTGTTTTGTTTTGTTTTTTTTTTGTTTGTTGTTGTTTTTTTTGCTTTTGTTTTTGTTTTGTTTTGTTTTGTTTTGTTTTGTTTTAGTAAAAAAGGTCTATAATTAACTTTTTCCGGGAAATTATTCTCTCCTTTTAGTTCTTTGGCATCTACACCATCTGATGTCACTTCCGACAGTGTTCAATTCTACTTTCGTTTTGACCATAATGATAATCATTATGGTAATGATTATCAGCTGAAAAAATATTATTGCTGGAGGAAAAACAGCAGCTTACAGAAGATCTACTTAATGACAAACGATGGGACATACAGAAAATGGATACCTTCATACACGGGTTTATATTTTTTCTGTTAGTAAAGGTAAGAAAAAGGTGAAGGTACATGTAATAAATTTGTATTAAATTAAATTAGACAGTTAGAGAATGGGGTTTCTCAGCGAGATTTGTGGCGACTAAAAATTTTGGTCCGGTGTGTCCCCACGGGCACTGGAAGTTAATGTAAATATATAGTATGTACGTACTATATATTTACATTAACTTCCAGTGCCCGTGTGTGTCCCCACGAATCTCACCCCAGTGTCACATATATCATTTGGGGTTTCGTGCCTGACCTTGACCGCTTGTTTCGATTTTATTTTAGACATCATTTCAATTTCCTATCACCTTGAAATGTTCGTTTCTATCCCCTGAAAGGTTTACCGGTAAATTAAACAAAATATAAACTTGCTGATTTTTCATGGTAATGTGCTATATACATGATATATTCATTTAAACCTGATCTAATACTGAATAGTCTGGTTCAAATACTTCATTCCTACAACTCTTTCCTATTGAAATGAAACATAGAGAACTGACTTGTAGGCAGATAGTATACAGGTATATGCAAATAAAATGAAATGAAATCAACAGTTATATAAAATTCCATATTTTTTGCGACAGGCAGTAGCTATGCCATCGTCAATAATGTGTCCTTACCTGCCACTCTGGGAGGCCCGTTCTAAGACATTGTGTGGGAACAACCCCTCTTATTATCACTGTCTTAATGATCAGGCAGGAAACCTTCGAGAAGCATGTATAAAACCTGTATTTATCATCAGAGGTTAGTAATATATTGTATCAATATGATCAAATAAAAATTATGACATTGTACATGTATTTATTTGTCCTTATGTGGAATAGCATGTTCCTCTGTTGATCAATAAACTTGATTGAAAACAAATTTTACAGCTCCAGAAATTTATTAAACATGGCAATTTAAAGGATAAAATTATGAGTTATGTATTATTTATACACTTAATTACAAGTACAAGAAAGTTATTTTGAAAGTAAAATGAATAATCTTATGAGATTTTACTCTTAAATATTGTACATGCATATGACAAAGCAATTTTATCATTGCTTAGAGGCTTATTTAAAATCACTCTGACAGCAAGGTAAGTTAACACTCAGAGCTACAAAAAAATGTAGAAAATATTGCATCTTATTACTTTACTTTAGGGCATTATCCAGTCTTGTCTTTAGACTTGGACTTCATCAAGCCTGTAAAATGTCCACCAACTCATTACCAACCAGATGGACAAGACTCCAACAACTATAGAAGTCAAACCTGTATGTACCCAAAGTCACAGTGTGATGATGATGGCGAAGAGACTTGTGATGAAGGAAGTGATGTCACTGACAGGATGTGCCAATGTGACCACACACGTGGATACAGGTCATTAGAATATCTATTAGGAAACCCTAGAAACCAGTCCTGTTATCACCCGAAATCAGAAGAAAAAGGATGTGCCATGTACAACTGTCCCAATGGAGAAGAGTTAAATCCAGGTAAGGTCATTTATATGCATATATCTATAAAAAATATATTTATACTTGAACTTGCATATATATTGCTCTGCTTTTAATTTGGCAGCATGCAGCTGTTTTTTTATACACTTCCCTCCCTACTTACAATTCCTCTTATTCCACTGAATGAAATTAATTGCCATTGTGGCCATCTATTTTACTTTTTGATTGGACACTTACTTCAGGGCTTGCATAGCAAAACATGGACTTTGCAATAATAATGATATGAGAGGTGGGGGTATCATTTGTGAGCTCATTGCTGTACCTCCAGTTTATTTAAAATTATTTTTGAGGGATTTGAAATCTATGAAGTACAAATCAACTTTGCTACATGTATCTTGAACAACAATATCTTGAATACCAGGGATTTGTGGAAGAATTTTAGTATTTATTATCAACCATTTTTTTCTTTATGTAAATTATACTAAGTCTTGTAATCTTTAGTTCTCCTTTATCTTGATGTATTAACTTGGCTCTGCTGTCTTGAGATAAGGAGATTTTACTGTATGAACTTATTTTTATAAGAAAGTCCCATTATTATATTATAAAATACTGGGAAGGGATTTTCTAAGTTGTAAGAACTTGTAACCATGAATTAATCCCTCTGTATCTTTTATACAATAAATTTTGTTCAATACAAAACGATCTATAATAGTTCACAGATTTTTATTAAATCTGTCTATTTTGTCATTCAGCATATTTTTGTGTAAAGAAATGCCCAGAAGGATATCACAGACAAAAATATGAATTTGTTTGCGTGAAAATCAACCCTTTACCGTAAGTTGGCCTATATGTACTGTAAGTATATGTTTAGCATTTGGTTTTACTTGTTTTTGTAATTTTGTTAGGAATAAAGCCAATATAAAATAATCAAATATGAAATAAAGTGTAAATTGTGCTTTTATCATAAAAAATTACTGTTTTTCATCTGTCAGATCAGTAGATGTTCTCTTCATAGTTTATAATTCTAGTTCTGATCGGTATGCCAAGGTTATGAAAATTCAAAATGAGCACTTTTGAGAAAGTACCTTCAACTGTAATACTTAGTTTTTTTTGTTTGTTTCACTTTTGAAAATTCTGATTTACAATAATAAACACTGAATGCAACAATAAATGTTTTCTAACAACTTCAGATCACAAAGTCCTACAGTGAAATTTACAAGTACAGTCAAGATTCACACTACCTTGGTCATCCCAATTACAAAAGTTAATGAAGGCATGGATTCAATGCTTAAAAGTAAGTTCAGTTATGTATCTATGCATTAACAAAAACATCTAAGCAGATAATATTTAAATAAATTACTGTAGTCCAAAGAAATTAATTTTTAGTTTCTTGGATCGAAATTCATTTTAGTTCTTTTTTAGGCCACCTGAGCCAAAGACTCAAGTGTGCTTTTCTAATCAAAATCTGTTGTTTGTTGTTGCATGTCTTTGTTATTTTTTTCTCAAGAATCACCAGACCAATTTTAATCACATTAAATGAAATGTTTCTTGGCTATAAAGCAGATGCAAGTTTGTTCAAATGAAGAAAGGCACTTTCTTGCAAGGAGAGATAACTTTGAATAAGTAAAGGATCATTCTCTATAAGGCCGTTTTGCGGCCTACAATGACTTCAAATTTTCAGATAGTATTTTTTCCCTTAAATATTGCATGAATCACTAGGCTTTAGTTCCAATTTAATGATAAATATTGGTTGGTTAATGATACAATAGTATTTTAAATGATATAGGGTCACAAAGTAAGGTACTATCAGCCCGTATTAGCATTAGAGTAATGGGAAAACTCAAGAGGGTGGCTGTGTTAGATAACTCCTACGCATGTCATAACCACCTTTAACCAACACCAAAATTTGCGTGTAAATTTCTTATAAACATAAAAAGTGACTACCAAATTATGAATTTGGTTAAAGGTGGTTATAATATCTAAATAAAAACTTTTCACTTTATTTTTACGATATTTGCAGAAAAAGCTAACTACTCACAATGAAGGATATCAGCTATGTAGATTATTTCTTTTTATAAACTTTTGGTTATATTACAATTTTCTGTTGATTTACTAAGGAATATATCAGCCATGCATATTTACTAAAAAATAAGTGAACTTTTTACTTGAAAATCTAAAAATCAAAGGACTGAGAAGACTGGATGTCATGAAATTACAAGTGGAGACGTTTCTTTGAAATGTCTAATAAAAATTAAGAAATAAGAACATTTTATCGAATATAAGGTGTGAATGTGAGTTAACTTTTAAATTTATAATGACAGTTTGGTATATCTATATGTGCTACTTCTGTGAACTTCCGTATGAGTTCTGCAAATATTCTTTGTATTTCCTTACGAGTACTATATATGTTCTAGAAATGATGAAAACAATCTTTGTTGAAGTGGTAACATGCATTTATTATTTGTATTATTGATTTTTTTCCTATGGATACCCACAATTTTTTAAATGGACACTTCCGTACGAGTATCATTTGATCCATATTTTGTTAACTGCGTCTTAATATTGAGAGATAACATTAGTCCTGTCTTAGAAAATAAACTGGTAAAGTGGAGGGGGATTCCTAAATGTTTTATGTGATTTATAAATGAATGTTGCTTTACCCCATTTAAGGATTTTTCAACCAGATAAAGAAATCATCCACTTAAGGTCAAGTGTAGTATGCATAGTTGCATTAATAACCAACGCCCAACGCAGGACGGGGACCTTTTTTGAAAAAAAAGAAAAAAGATTATATCCAAAAGACCGATGACATTTACTTTAAATGCTAGACTTAGGTAGGGAACTGTCACTATCCGTGTTAAACAAGTTTTGAGGCTGCACTGGGAAAGAGACTGAATTTAATCTACCGGTTTCAAGAATGGGAAAGGAGCATCAAACCCTAAGGGTCCATTTTGTACCTGGGATGTTGTAGAACTCTTAATTCCGTATACTAGTAAATACGAAAACTTCAGAATCTTATATGCATAGTTGAAGGAACTGTTAAAATTCTACTCCATTTTATGTTGTGCTGTTAGACACGGGGGGGGGGGGGGGGGTCTCAACTTTTATACATGTAAATAAATAAAGTTTAGAAGGCATTTTTAATTGAATATATTGTGCAGCACGAGTAATTGAATAAAAGCAAAGCCATTTTACGACGCTATTTCATTTTACTTAGAGATGTATATTTTAATGCAACCGCTCTGAGTTTGTATTGACTATTTACATGTATATGGATAGTCAATATGTACTTGCATTGATATTCTTATGCTGTTAATTCTTAATTTTTTTGCAATTGTTGAATTTCTTTTCTTTATTACTACACTACTTCAGTTTTAATCATAATCAAAATCCATTCAGTGCTTTCAACATTTGATACATAACTTTTAGAGTTCAATAGAAACTTAGAAACCTCATTTCTAACATGGCTATTTTATACGTAAAATAAGTACCACATGTATAGAAATGATATACAATTACAATATAATTATATATAATATAATACGTTTCAATAAATTATAAATCAAACTTTTTTCAGCACCATACAGTATGAATTTCGTAAAGATTTACGTTCAAAATATGCAAAATGTGGATCCATTAGAATTCTTGTCATAAAAAATATCTTAGACCTTAAATTTAAAAAACCTTCGAATTTATTACTTGGGTATGGTGTATTTCCGACATAATTAAACAATTTTTGATCATTTCCATTCAAAAACATGCATAGAAACTTGATTTAAATAGACCTACCCTCAATTTTTCTTTAACTGACAGCCATTTTTCATCTCTAAATCATGTGACTTAGATGATCGAAGTTGAAAAACAAACATCAAAATCATGAACTACAATGGTTATAGTTATACAAAATCACATTTTAAAGTGATTTTATCGTAGGCCGGAAAATGGCCTTATAGAGAATGAATGCTCTTGTTTATATAAACATATTTTTCTTTATGTATTATACGAAATTCGCTTTTTAGACAAAACAATTCGACTTATTGGAGGAGCTACTCCCTATGAGGGCAGAGTTGAAGTTTACTACAACGGGGAATGGGGAACAATTTGTGATGATGGTTTAGAAAACAGTGGTCAAGGGAATTGGAATAACTCTTTTTCTAAAGTGATATGCCGATCTTTGGGATATTCCTCGTAAGAACTAAAAATCACTACAATGAGTAATTTACTTTTATTCCTCTATTGAATAGCAAATATTTTCACCCCTGAAGCATATGTTAGTGAAGATTTGTCCTTATCTTGGCTTATTTTTAAATAATATGTATCACCTCAATATGAGGAGGAAGTGCCTCCCATTTTTGCATTTTATGAACAGGTACTGAATCAGCATTAGCTTTTTTAATAGATGAAATTGCACTGCCTTTGATTTGCCATTAGAAAGCCAAAATAAATGTCAATATGAAGAATAAAAAAGTAGATGCACTATGGCACATATAAATAAAGATTCTTTAAAATTATCAAAATTGTACCTTTTTGCTATCTTTACGAAAACCGTTACCTTCTATCTATGGCACTTTATATAAAAAAATTGTTTCAGTCTTATTCATATTTATTAATAGTGGCCTCAACTTGTCATTAAGATATCGATTTATCGACAACACTATGACGGATTAAAGGGGATGGGAGGGGGCGCATCTCTTTAAAATTTTAAAAGTATATATAATATTTCAATAATATTAATAATGCAAAATTTTTGGTTTTATCATTAGTGGTGTATTAATAAATTGTATTTTTTTTTCAATGACCAAGTATCAGTTTTCTTCAAAATCTGATGAAAACCTTGCATTTCCTCAGATATGAATAATCGCATACTTAATTATTCAATTTATTTTCTTTTAAAAAGTGAAATATCATAGTGTACGTATCTAACGTATACCAATATTTTTGTGCCTGGTTTTAGTACTAACTTAATACATGAAAACCCAGGAGCTTCTGGGGGCTTGGCTCCTGGGTCCCCGCTGGGTTTGGCGACCCCATGAGGATCTTCAGGGGGCCCCCAGACCCCCTCCCTGGACATATCAACACCCAATCCCCCATTATAAATACATGTAACCTGACATATTCAATGTACGACAACAAAAGAGATTACACAAAGATAATTTACTGGTTTAGTGTCATAACAACGTTCTATACATGTACTTATTTTGTTTGCTTGAATTAGCGCAATATATACTGTAAACCAACTTTTATTCGCGAGGAATTTTCACGAAGTTCTCGAGAGCCTCGGCATTGCGAATATTTCTTGTCTGCAAACCAGTCCTTACATTTTCTGTGTCTATTTACAATAGATCAAAAAAGGCTTGATCGCAAAAATGAATCGTTGCGAACTAGTTTAACCCCAGTAAATCGCGAAATAAAGTTGTCACAAACGAAAGTTGGGTTTACAGTGAATACATGTACATAAATGTTTTAGTTTTATAGCCCGATTGATGTTTTAGGCAAACTACAGTGAGTTTTTGTTGTGCACGTTGTGGAGTAGGAACAGGTCCTATATGGTTGGATAACGTTCGATGCAATGGATACGAATCATCTGTTGAGGAATGTTCACATCTTGGTTGGGGCAGTCATAACTGTGGACATTACGAAGACATGGCTGTCAACTGTTTTCCAGGGGAGGGTAGGATATTAAAAGAAATCACCTGAACATTACGCTTCAATTCAATTTACACCCTGGCAGTAGGTCAAGGGGGGGGGGGGGGGTTGGGGTTGTTACAATTTACTTTTATCTTGCATGTTATATTAACTTATATTTCTTACTTTTGTGCAAAAGTTCTAATTTCTTTATAATATGACATTAACAACAGAATAATTATTAACTTCCAATTTTGTTTTTTCATAATTGATGCTGTTTTATATCTTGTCATTTTTGGCTCGTCCGACCAGAGACCATGACATCTAATGCAGTAGTAAATAATCTGTCGTCCGTCCGTCTGATTAACTCTCTCTGTCCGCTTCTCTGTAAAATTTTTTTTTTTTACAAATAATGCAACTCCACACCAGTTTTGGTCTGATTTCTACATAATTTGGCACAACAAACAAGAAATAAATGATTATATGTTTCATTTTTTTTCATTATATTCATCAGTTTGCCATCTTAAAAAAACAAAACAAAAGCATTTTGGTGAAATTCTTCCAAACAGCAACTCCTTCTACAGTTTTAGTCCGATTTCTGAATAACAGTTTACAAGGAGAAAAAAATTAGATATATTTCTTTTCGTTGTTTTTACATGTTTTATGTGTTTCTTATTTTGTTGACGGGTTGCCATCGTTACTAAAAATAAAAAAAATATGTGAAACTTTATTATATGTTACTCCTCCGTCTCTGTTTTGCTAATTAAACTCGACTCAGACATAGACTTAAGATCATTATTTAAGGGGAAGAAGGACCTTGAGCTGAAAAAATACCTGTCGTTTAATTTTTTTTCATATTTTGTAATATAGTATGTCCTACATATCTTAAAGCATATATATCAATAGGTTTCTGGACTTATTTTTGAGATATTGAGTGACAAATACTATACCCCAAATTGTCTAAGTGGAGTTTTTAGCTCTTCTGAGCCAAAAGCTCAAAGAGCTAATGCTATGGCCATTTGTGCGGTGTGCGGTGTGCGTTAACTTTTTAGAATATGGGCCATAACTCAAGAACCCCTTGGCCAATCAGTACCAAATTTGTCACAGGGTATCCTTGGCCCAAGGGCTACCATTTTTACTAAAATAAGGGTTGGGACCCTAAAACAAGGGGAGATAATCAGGAAAACAAAACCAAAAGTACTGGTTGCTAAAAAATCTTCTTCTCCAGAACCACCAGGCAGATTTTCACCAAACTTACATACAAGGATCAGGATATGTTGAAGATTAAAAATTGTTCAAGGCATGACCCTGGGGCAAAGGGCGTGGTCTCAAGGTCACTTCAAAGTTGACCTAAATTTACAATTAATAAAAACGTGTATATTTTTCTTACTATAAGGACTAGAATCATCAAATCTTGTAAGTTGATGCATCTTACGACTTCACATCATGTTAACTCAAAAGTAGGTCACGGTGACCTACTTTTTAAATTTTGCGGGGATTTGTTTTCAAATTGATTTGAAGGCATATTTTGGACACTTTAAGGCCTATGATCATCAAACTTTGTCAGTTGATGCATCTTGGGTCTTTGAACAATGTCAACTTAAAAGTAGGTCACTGTGACCTACTTTTTGAACTTTATGACTTATCCTATTAAAAACATTAAATCCCATTATTTCAGACACTGGGAGGTTTAGAATCATCAAATCTTGTACTTTGATGCATCTAGGGACCTTAAAACATATTTATAACAAAGTAGGTCACTGTGACCTACTTTTTAAATTTTGCCGACATTTGTTTTCAAATTGTTTAAAATGCATATTTTGATTACCTTCAGACCTATGATCATCAAACTTGGTCAGTAGATGCATCTTGGGTCTTTGAAAAATGTCAACCAAAATGTAGGTCACGATGACCTACTTTCGACATTTTGTGGCTATATTTCAGTATCTTAGGCATTTGTTGGCTTAGAATCATCAAACTTTGTGAATGGATGCATATTTAGTTTTCGGAGAGTGACGACCAAAAAGTAGGTCATGGTGACCTACTTTTGACATTTTATGGCTTTATTTAAGTATATCCGGTACTTATTGGCTTAGAATCATCAAACTTTGTGAGTTGATGCATCTTGGATTTTCGGAGAGTGACGACCAAAAAAGTAGGTCATAGTGACCTACTTTTGACATTTTGTGGCTATAATTAAGTATCTCTGGTACTTATTGACCTAAAATCATCAAACTTTGTCAGATGATGCATCTTGGGTTTTCGGAGAATGTCGACCAAAAAGTAGGTCACAGTGACCTACTTTTGAATATCTCAGGTACGTTTTAGCTTAGAATCATCAAACTTTGTCAGTTTAGGCACCTTGGGTTTTCGGAGAACGTGGACCAAAAAGTAGGTCACAGTGACCTACTTTTGAATATCTCAGGTACGTATTAGCTTAGAATCATAAAACTTTGTCAGTTTAGGCACCTTGGGTTTTCGGAGAACGTCGACCAAAAAGTAGGTCACTGTGACCTACTTTTGACATTTTTTGGCTATATTTGATTATATCTGGTACTTATTGGCTCGGAATCATCAAACTTTGTCAGTTGAGGCATCTTACGGTTTCATTGAATGTCCAACAAGAAGTAGGTCACGGTGACCTACTTTTGAATATCTCAGGTACTTATTGGCTTAGAATCAACAAATTTTCTCAGTTTAGGCATCTTGGATGTTTGGATAACGTCGTCCAAAAAGTAGGTCACCGTGACCTACTTTTGACATTTGATGGCTATATTAAATTATCTCTGGAACTAATTGGCTTAGAATTGTCAAACTTTGTCAGATGATGCATCTTGGGTTTTCAGAGAATGTTGACCAAAAAGTAGGTCATGGTGACCTACTTTTGAATATCTCAGGTACTTATTTAATTAGAATCATCAGTCTTTGTCAATTAATATATCTTGAGTCCTCAGATATTTCCAATTAAAAGGTAGGTCACTTTGACCTACTTATGGTATTTGATAATTATATTATAATATCTTCAGTCTTAACTGGCTAAATATTATCAAACTTTGTAAGTTGATGCATTTTGGGTCTTATGATACTAATAGAGTTGGAGGCTTCTAATAGAAGTGACAGATTGTACAATTTATCAGAAGAGCGATTCAAGGCCCTTGGGCCTCTTGTAATTCTCAATGTTTCTGGGCCCATTAATCGGTCCATAATGGATTTTTTTCAGTATAGATAAAAAATATGTCAGCTAACATGTGTCTTTAAAAATATTTCAGAGTATAAATAGGGTGGAAAATTCGAAAAAGCAATATTCTTTTGTCACACCGCATCTGGAGACGGAAAATTACGTACTTTTTAAGACAACTTAAACATCAAAAAAATTAATTTGCAAAAAATCCTATCATTCAATATTTGAAAATTTACGTTGAAATGCAAAATCGTCATGTTATTGACTAGCTGTAAAAATATCGATTGATGAAGCTGAGCTCAATATTGCACAGGACATGGTTAAACAAGGCATGAGCTTGAGATAAACGTGTCATGTTTACATTTCTGGAGTACGGGAAAACCCAACTATGACGTCACACTTCTGCGAAATACCTAGACAACCCTGTAAATTTTTTTTTTTTTAATTCAAAGAATTTATTTTTGCTTTCACATTTACAGACTATGTACAATATATTTGTTTACATTCAATACATACATATACTATATAATTTTTCTTCCATATAATTTATATTATATACTTTATACAAATTCTCTTTGGTAAATGCTAAATACAAATTCATTTCATAAAGCTGCAAAAGATATATGACATTCATGTATATTATGAATCTTCATTGTGAAAGCTTTATATACAAAGAAGTAAACAAAGGGGAGGGGTGACGAGGGAATACAAAGTGAGGTGTAAAAATATTTTTTTGTGCTCTCTAATTCACAAAATACCCCACTATGTACTGATCATGACCCGTTTTTATGATAATATTATCCGCGTTTTACCTTGTATAATCATACTGTACTAAGAGATCCACTGTGACGTCAACTGCGACGTCAACGACTCGTTGGACGCGCAGTGTAGGGGAACAGAAGAGTGGATCAATCTATTCCGTAATTCTATAATATTTGCAATAAAGTTTGTATGTTTTTAGATATTTTTATACAAGATGGTGAACTCAAACAAACAGTCAAAAAATCATACAAATACTGTTGTTTCAATCTTGTTTTTTTACATATTTTATCAGAGATTATGACGTAATTAAACTGAGTCATGTGACCAAACATCCTTAGTCCCCTTAATTTGTGGCAGTTGCAATACTTTCAGGCCAAAGTGTTATTTTTCACTACTAGAAGAGCTAATTTCTCTTCAGAGACTTCTTGTTCTAGACGAAATCATAGAAAACATTTAAATTTTCATTTCTCATTTTATTTTGTCATTGTCTAGGTACATCGTCAATATGTACACAATTACCAACGACACAGATCACAGGAGAGACCACCACACCGATGACAAGTAATGAATCTTTTCTTATTTAATGTTATATTTAGGTCGAGTAATGTTGCCAAACTTTGTTGATGCCATTTACTAATCAGTCTGTCCCTCTGTCTGTCCACATTCACTTTTTAGCTCACCTGAGCCAAAGGATCAAGTAAGCTTTTCTGATCAAAATTTGTCTCCGTTTTCTTTCGTTGTCGTTGTTGTAAACTTTTACATTTTCATCTTCTTCTCAAGAACCACTGGGCCAATTTCAACCAATCTTGCTACAAAGTATCCTCGGGTAAAGGGGATTCAAGTTTGTTCAAATGAAGTGCCACGCTCTTTTCCAAGGGGAGATAATTATGAATTAGAGAAAAATTAATGCCATTTTGAAAAAAATCTTCTTCTCAAGAACCACTGGGCCAGGAAAGATGAAACTCATGTGGAATCATCCTCAGGTAGTGTAGATTCAAATTTGTTCAAATCATGACCCCCAGGGGTAGGGTGGGGCCAAAATGGCCGATCAAAGTTTTACATAGGAATGTATAGGAAAAATTCTTTGAAAATCTTCTTCTCAAGAACCACTGGGCCAGGAAGGATGAAACTCATGTGGAATCATCCTTAAGTATTGCAGATTCAAGTTTGTTCAAATCATGACCCCCTGGGTCTAGGATGGGGCCAAAATGGCCGACCAAAGTTTTACATAGGAATTTATAGGAAAAATCTTAAAAAATCTTCTTCTCAAGAACCACTGGGCCAGGAAAGATGAAACTCATGTGGAATCATCCTCAGGTAGTGTAGATTCAAATTTGTTCAAATCATGGCCGCAAGGGGTAGGGTGGGGCCAAAATGGCCGATCAAAGTTTTACATAGGAATATATAGGAAAAATTCTTTAAAAATCTTCTTCTCAAGAACCACTGGGCCAGGAAAGGTGAAACTCATGTGGAATCATCCTCAGGTAGTATAGATTCAAGTTTGTTCAAATCATGACCCCAGGGGTAGGGTGGGGCCAAAATGGCCGATCAAAATTTTACATAGGAATGTATAGGAAAAATTCTTTAAAAATCGTCTTCTCAAGAACCACTGGGCCAGAAAAGATGAAACTCGTGTGGAATCATCCTCAGGTAGTGTAGATTCAAGTTTGTTTAAATCTTGACCCCCGGGGGGATAGTGGGGCCGAATGGCCGATAAAAGTTTTACATAGGAATGTATAGGGAAACCTTTTAAAATCTTCTTTTCAAGTTCTTCAAGGCCATGCTTAGTGATATTAATAGGGAATCATCCTCAAGTAATGTAGATTCTAGTTTGTTCAAACCATGACAGACCCCCTGGGCGTCCCACTTCAAGCCCCCCCCCCCCCTCCTCAGTAAACTTGCAGTTCTGATCTGATATGTGCTTTTTCCTAGCCAATTGCCCAGGTGAGCGATGTGGCCCCTGGGCATTTTGTTATCTCCTTTGCACTTTATTTCTCACCCAAATACTCTGTCTTTAGAAGGCGTTTAAAAAAATCAGTGTTTCTTAATCGAAGGTCAAGATAAAAAAGTATCCATATTCAAGAGCTGTGTCTTAAACTTTTTTTCGACCGCATAATCTGGCTCAACATGATGAGAGTGTCGTGGCTCATGAAACACTTGTAAGATCGTATTCATTTTCAAAGAAATGTTTATTTTCTATTTTTTAAAATTGCTTTTCAGGCACGAGGGTTCGTCTTGTTGGGGGGAGCAGTCCTTATGAGGGCAGAGTGGAGGTGTATTACAATGGAGCATGGGGGACAATTTGTGATGACTATTATTTATTTAATGCTGGTGGATCGAATAACAGTTTCTCCAAAGTAATATGCCGATCTTTAGGTTTCCCCTGGTATGTAACAAGTGTTCAGGGATATGTTTTCAAACGCAAATTTAATCTAAAAAAATTTTAATCAATTTTACATTGTATAAATTGAAATTAAAAGTCGTATTGAAATTTATAATGAGGTAACATTTACAAAACGAAATAATCTATTTTTATTCATCATGGAATAATATATTTTGTGAGCGTTGAAACATCAACCTAGGCATAGATCTTTGTCCAATTAGGTCTGCAATAAATTTTTTTGTTGAAACTTTCAAGTAGAAATTAATTACGTGAAATTGGTGATATCAAGATTATGAAACTGTCATAAGTAATTTTTTTAATATATAACTTCTAATCCTTAGGCAAATATCTGTGAGCTATTGTTGTGCACGTCATGGACAAGGAACTGGTCCTATCTGGCTAGATGATGTACAATGTATTGGAAATGAAACAGATATTTCAGAGTGTGTACATATCGGCTGGGGCAACCATAACTGTGGACATCAAGAGGATGTTTCTGTCAATTGTCTACCAGAGAAGGGTATGAAAGTAGTACTAAAGTATGTTCTTGAAATAAACACGAATTTTGATTTAAACTGACGTATTGTGGAACTTGCATAATTCTCTGTGCAGCAGTTTTGTAGTTTTGAAACGGCTATTTTTCTTAAAGCTCAACTGAAGCTTATGCTTAAATGTATTATAATCGTTTATGTAGAATGTCTGTAATGTTTATTCTTTCGTATAATCTCTCCACGAAATCGAAAATCTGTTTTTCTTCGGTAAAAAAAATTATTTTAACTAGTAATTAAAATTATGAATGTACGCGGTGTCATTTTAATTATATTATATTAAACCCTTAGTTAAACTGACATTTTGCAATAGAATTTTCTACACTTAAAATGAAATCATTCTGATTAATGGCATATTTTAAAGATTGAATTAAACTTAAGCCGTCCAAAAATCCTTTTATTTTGTTAGCTTTCAGATTGTACATTTTTTACAATTATTCTTTAGTAATTTTATTCCACCCGCTTGAAAAGTGGGAGAGTATATGTATATAGTGATCGGAATGTCAGTATTTCTCTACGTACATCCGTCTGTACTCTTTGGGATACCCATCTCTTATCCGCAACTCCTCTTATACCCTTAAATGATTTTTTTGTGGTTTTCTCAGAATCTTGGGAACATATTTTTTTTTTAAATTTTTTGATCACATATTTCACGTTTCCCAGAGCAAAACAAGGACACTGGCATTCTTTCTTTATCATTGAAGGCTACCAATCTCTTATCTGCAACTCCTCCTATATTATTGAATAAAATTGAATGATATTTTCAGAGAATCTTTATTACATAATGCCATTGTGCACCTTCTACTTTATTTTTTGATCTGACACTTATTTCTTGTCTCCTAGAACAAAACATAGACTTTGCGTTTATAATGGGATGGGGAAAGCAAAGGAATATCATTTTCTGAGCTCAGTACACACAGTATCTCTAAATTTTTTCTGGATAATGATTACTGGTGCGATTCTGATTTTATAGAAATGTCAACATCCATACCAACAGCACATGTCACATCACACACAACCACAACAGAGACGGCTACAACAGAACAGAGAATGCCATGTAAGTAAATAGTGTTTGGATAGATTTGAGTTAGTTTGTGTTAATTTATTATTTCTTTTGACGACGTGATTGATTTTATTGACAAAAAAAGAAAATATATAATTTGTTGTGACATCTGTGTCATAAAAGTCCATTCTTAAAATAAATCTGCAAAAGTGAAGAAAATTCTCTTTTTATGCTTTTCTCATTCCATTTAAGTTTACATTTATATGTAGTATAAATGGTTTTCATTCTGAGTAGGAAAATACATAATTATGTTTAGCTTTGAAATTCTGGTACATGTAGACAATTTTATAAAAACTTGATTTCTTCCTCAGTTTGATTGATTGATTGATTATATATTGTTTAACGTCCCTCTCAAGAATTTTTCACCCATGTGGAGACGCCACCACTTGCCGGTGGAGAGCTGCAAATTTTTTTTACTCGGCACTCAGAGCCATTGAGCAGGGAGGGATCTTTTTCGTGCCAACACCTACTGCGACAAGGGACCTCGGTTTATACGGTCTCATCCAAAGAACCGGTCTCCACGTCCCACAGTGGGATTCGAACCCGCGATGTAAGGATTGACTCCTTACTTCGCGACTCTAGAGCAGACGTTCTAACCACTGCCTCACGCGGCCTCAGTTTGAAGTCTTATATCTTTAATACACTCCTTTTATTTTTGTTCAGTCACTCCCATTCGTCTAGTGAATGGAAATACCCCGTATGAAGGTAGAGTGGAGGTATATCACAACGGAGAATGGGGGACTATTTGTGACGACATCTGGGATAATCAAGATGCTACAGTGGTCTGTCGATCGCTTGGATTTTCTACGTACGTATCATAAAGCAGTACTGAAGCTTACCTATAAAAAATTGCACAAATTTGCTTTATTTCATCAAACGTGTTTGTTGCAAGCAGTATTGAATTTTCCCTAATATATACTTTTAAACTGATTAAAATCTTCAGCCAAATAATGCCCCAAACCACCTGAATTAAAGGAAACCTTGTTTTTTTTTTCATTTAAAAATGACTCAAGCATCAGATCAGAAAAAATCTAATTTGAAAGCTTCCTGATACACGTTGTAAGTGTATAAGACACAATAAAATTTCGAATTATGATCTATTAATCATTTTCGTCTTAAAATATAAGGGAGCCAGGACTCATAACCTCAGAAATGCTTGATACGATGCTGGGGCCTTTATAATTAACTCTTATGATTCGCGTTATTATCTACATGTATATGAATTCAATCACTAATACTTTTGGTTTGAAATAGATGTCAAAAGCTAATAAATTATTTATTCTGGACAGGAACAGTTCAACAGCTTTACATAGTGCTTATTTTGGTCAGGGAAACGGTTCTATTTGGATGGATGATGTTCGTTGTGCTGGAACAGAAACAAGAATTGAATACTGTAATCATTACGGCTGGGGAAGACATAACTGTCGCCATTATGAAGATGCATCCGTACGATGCCTGACAGGATTATGTAGGATCATTTCCAAATTCATATTTCTAGAATGATTATTGGTACAATGAAGCACGTTGAAGTGGTAAAATTATCCTTTTGGATGGAACGCTTTGAGCTATCTTTAGAAGTGGATCGTCTTGTAATGAAACACCCATTTCTTTAGAAAAGGAAAACCTCGGACGAATGATTCATTAGAATACCTGTAGAACAGGTATTCCATCAATATAATAACCAATTGACGATCTATATGAACACAGAGTAAGCGCGTGTTCGACCGATACACTTGTTATGATAACTCCAATAAACATAATAAATTCATAATTATATACAAATTCGTAGAAATACGTGTTTTACAGAAGCTGGAATATATATATATATATATATATATATATATATATATATATATATATATATATATATATATTACTTTAAAAATCTCCATTTCGATGGAACACACGTTGCTTTTAGCGAAGAGTGGGACGTCCTAAAACATTACGGTGAATATTCGAATATTTTTTTTTTCTTTCTAAAGAAATGGGCGTGTCATTATGTTGTAATTGACGTTCAAAACATGACTCAGATCGTTCTATCTAAACGAAACATTTTACCACTTCATTGTACTTCTGTATGCCCTATAATACTTCTTGCAA